TGCCAATGGTGACCCTGGGCCTTTGGCCAGGGCAGCAGATGAGCTGCCAAGGGACAGAACTGGGTCTGAGTCCAGGAGTGGGTGGGTCCAGCCTGAGTGCTGGAGTGTGTCTTCTTTCCATCCGGGGCTGTGACCTCTTCAGACAGGTGTCAGAGTTCCCCTGAAAGGGGAGCAGTTTATGAGCAGTTTATGCTTCTCATACACTCTCCTGGTACACTGATGCCTCACACAGGACATTTTCAGCAGGACTCTGCTCCCCCCAAGGAGTTGGGGAAAAGGAACAGGCTCCTGTGCTCATCCCACAAGAGACTGGTTACCTGTCCCCACTATCCAGCTAGATGCTGGTCCTTCTCCCAAGTTGAGCACACCTCACCTGAGGCCTCTCAGGTTTGGGACAAGTATCCCAATCCAGGATGTGGGTTCACAGCTACAAAGCTATCTATGGAGTGATTCGGGGCAGAGGAGTTGGTGAGGCAGAGAAAGCTGCAGAGGCACAGGCATAAGTGGCCATCAGAGAGGCATCTCCGGAGGCCCCTTTTTTCTTTCAGCAGTGTTAATGGAGTCCAGGCCCTGGGGCTGCAGCACTGAACAAGACACACAGGCCCTGGACAGGCCCAAGCCTCTCGAAGTTACAAAGCATTCATCCAAGAACTGCACAAACACCTCCAGAATTACAGCGTGAGAGGTGGGGCCAGACCAGGGCTGTGGGAACATGGGCAGGCCTCCAGGAGGAGGTGGGGTGAGGTTGCAGCAGGAGGCTACAGGCACAAGGGAGCCAAGCCTCTGTTGTCAGGGAACAGTGGGTGGAGGCAGCTCCTGCAGGCAGCGGGGTCAGATTGGGAGGGTCTGCAGGCTGCTAGGAGTAAGGAAAAAGGACTCACTCTTTCTGGCTTCCACTTTCCCCATCTGTATAGGGAGACCACAAGTATCATCCTGTGTTTCTCAGGCACCTGTTTGTTGGACCCCTGCACTGTACTCATTCAGAAAAATGGCAACAATCCAGTACCAGCACCAACTCTACCCCACTGGGGAGCTGTACCCTGACTTCCCCAAGGAAAAGCCTAATCAGAATCAGAGCTTTAAAAGGCAGACCTGGGGTCCCTGGAACCTTGTTTAGACCAAATTGGTGAGGAAGACTGGGCCTGGACTGGGTATGGCTGTCAGACCCCTTACTCTCCTCCCAAACAGAGCCCCAACTCTTGGGATCTGGGAAGACTGCTTGGCCATGGGTTCTTAGTGTCTTTCTCCCTCTCCTTGTCCTGTCTGGGCCCTTTATTTCCTACCCAAATGGCGGTGGGACTATAGAAGTGATGGTAGGTCCAGGCTTTGTTCCTGGGGAGTCCTTCCAGTCTTGGGGAACAGTGTAAATGCCACCACTTAGGCTTCCAGCTTTGCCAATCCTAACTGCTCCCACTTCCCCTTACCTCCTGCACAGCTAACTTTATCAGATTACCTGTTGTGCCTGAGGGCAGGGTCTAGCACCAAGAAAGATGCAGAAATACTTGCTGAATGCATAATTGAGTGGGTAGGGGACGGTCAGGATTTGGAAAGCACAGGGGCTCTCATTCACTCATTTCTATGTAGTTCTTTCTCTGCCCAAGGTCACTGGGTGTGATTGGTAAGATGACAGTTTAGATTGGGGGCCTGGCCTACATCTCGTTCCCTGAATGTGGTCACTTCTGTACTTTTCCAGCTCCAGGACTTTGGTCACACTGTCTCCTCTGACCAGAGTACACACTCCACCCCCGGCCCTACCCGCACTTCTGTCTCCTTCACAGATGCCAGTTTCTTTATCAAGAGTTCCCAGCCAGAACTGCTTGCACCTGCCACACTCCCGGGTTTGTTTTTATGACAGTCCCCTGCCCCCCTGGGTTCCCAAAGGGCAGTCCAAGTCTCAGTCACCTTTGTGGTTTCAGTGTCACCCAGTAGGTGCTCAGTTGATCGTTGTCAACTGAGGACAAATAACAAGCCTTAAATAGAACTTACCGAGTATCAGGCACTTTTGTTAAGTGCTGCCTACGTGATAATCCTTTTATTCCTCACAATAGCCCAGTGAGGTAGGTGGTTTTATTACACCCATTTTGAAGATGAGGACGCTGCGGCAGCAGATTAAGTAACATGGCCAAGATCACCCAGCCAGCCAATGACCCAGCTGGAATTCAGCCCAAGCAGCTGGGGTCCACACTGACACCTCACAACTGATCTACTACACTGCCTCTTAGGGGATAACATCTCAGGGAAGTGGTTCTGCACAGCAGGATGTACACTTTTGTCACTGCAAGGAGCGTGCACCTGCTTGTAAAGGCAGTTCATCACCAAACCCAAGCCCCTCAGATTAAGTCCCATTTTCCTTAAGCGGCCTTTTCCCTCTTCCGGACTCAAGTTTTCTGCCTTCTACTCGGCACTAGTGGGTTTCATCTCTTTAGGGACACTGACTTCAGGTTCAGCAAATTGTTTGCAGAATGACTGCTTTGCTTACATAGATCCCAAAGACAGGTATGGCTTCCAGGAGATACTTGGGCATCACCTTGCCTCTTCTGAGCCTGTTTCCTGCCCTAGTGAATGGGCTGATTTGCCCAAATCATACCATGACATCTGGGATTCTGAGTTGCTCCAGAGCTGACTCTGTGTCAACAGTCTTACTTATCCCAGTCTTGGCACTGCTGTATGCCTGCCCTAGCCAGCCAGGTGACCTCCCCCAGGAGACGACGGGAGCGGAGATGAGGTTATAGTCGGGCTGGAGTGCTCCTTGCCCCTTGAAGAACTCCTCTCTGGAGACCTGGGGCAGCCTGGGACAAGGAGATAAGCTGGCAGATCCCAGCAGCTTGGATGGACTAGTGGCTCGTTTTGACACCTGACAGTGGGTGGGGACACTTGTCAAAGGCTCTTTTTTGCGGCAAACAGTCAAACTGAATCTGTCCCGCCCCTTCTGGCTGGAGGAGGGCAGAGGGATGGGGTGGGTAAATGGGGGTGGCCGGCAACGCCTCTGCCAACTGCTGCTAACAAGTGGCGGCTCGCAGATCAGCCAGGGCAGGTTGTGGTGACCCTAGGCGGTGCAGCCAATGAGCTCCCAGGCTGTGGTGGCACCACCGGGCAGCCCGCCTGTCTTTGGCTAGAGCGGCAGCAGGAGGGGCCTCGGGCCACCAGTCAGGGCTGGCAGGCCCTGTTTCTGGGAGGCCCAGGCAGATCTGCCTCTCATTCTCGGGAAGCCCTACTGCTACATTTTTAACTTTTCTGATCTCCTGAGGGAGGAGGGTGGGCTATAGGGGTGGTGTGGGAAGGATGGCAGGGAAGACGGCAAGGAGAGCGGGGGTGAAACTTCCCCAAGTTTCTTGTGCTCTGGATCCAGAGCAGGCTTGGGCTCCACACTAGGGAGAGTCTATTTTGCTTATAGAACTGATTTTGGGAGGGATGAAGGGAGGTAGTGAGAACGAGGGGAAGCAGAGGTTACCAATCACGGTCCAGGTTTTTGACTCAAGACTGGCATCAGGGGCTCCAGAGTCCTGCACCCCTATAGTCAGTGCAGCCCCTTTCTCTTTGTCTGGATGAATTCAGCTTTGGAACACTTGTGACCCAAGTGGCTAGTTCAAGGAGTGTGGGGGACAGTCAGGTGTGTTACTAAGAACTCCTGGTGGTACAGACTGTACAGTGTTGGCAGCAGCAGGTGTTCAAGGCCCCCTCCCTCAGTGCCCCTGCTCAATGCAGACAACGCAGCCAATCACATAATAAACATATATTTATAGATTTACAATTTCAGAATTCTAATTCAAGAAATACAGCTTCTCAGGGGATCCTTTAGGATCTGTGTTCTTATTGCACATGGCTCAGCCCATCTAGGGACATCTACCAAGACCAGACAGTCAGGGTGGTGGGGCAGAGCACCAGGGCCACTACAGTAGGGCACTCTTGCCCATGTCCAGTTCTTATCATCTCTTTGGGCCGGTGGCCACTTCATCACAGGGCAGGACCTTGTTTAAAAATCAGTTTTGACATTTCCTTACTGAGCTGTGTTTGCCAGCAAGAATCCTCTTTGTTAGGGGGTCTTAAAAAAAAAAAAAAGAGCCAAGAGAAATTCTGGTAAGATGGTTATCATCTCCTGGCTGGCAGCATGGGGAAGTAAGGCTTTGGAAGATGGCAGGCTCAATGACACCTACCGAGAAGAGGAAAATTCAGGAAAAATGGCAATTCCAAAAGGCCCAGTATAAACTGTGGGAATAAATAAAACTCCCCTTCCCTTCCCCTGGCAGCAACTGCTATTTTGAGAAAAATCCTCATTGAAAGGTGAGGATAAGAAAACCCTTCTGGTTCAGGTGCATTCTTTGTCCAAAGAGCAAGAGAAGGCCGGTGGTGTCACATCCATGGTGGGCGGAGACTGGTGCCATGGTTATGGACTTTCTTCAGGAGTTGGCTGCTGCCCCGGGGTCCTGGGCATACCTGGTGACTCTTGCAGGGAGAGCCTCTGGAGTCCTTGGTGCACGACTTAGGAAAAACCAGTGGAGCTGTGCCCTGTGGCACCTATAAGGCAAAACCCTTAAGGACTAAGGGGGGTGGAGGTGGTTAGGCAGAACCTGGTCTCTCTCTCCAGCTTTGGTGTTCTCTGTGGCAGTGGGTCAGAGAGCTCCTGGGCACCAGGACAAGGAGCCCACCTGAGCTGGCCAAAGCTTGAGAAGGATGGTCTCACCCCAGCAGGCCCTGTCTGGGGGTCTCTGTCGTGACTCAAAAGTGACCTGGTACCTGTCTCAAGGGGCACTTTTCTCCCCTCCACAGCCTGCTCTCCAACAGCTTAACCATAAACCTGGCAACCTTCAGAAGTTTTCCACAGATTTCCACTCATGATTACTGCTGCCATCAAAAACAGGCTGAGGCGGAGGGGAGTATGAAAAGCGTATGACCCGATTTTCCTTATGCTGTCGATTGTGGCTGATGTCCGGCCTCTGAAGGACCAGGCAGCCTTCCCCAAACAGGCTTTGTTTCTGAAACGGGAGAAATCAGCTAACAACTTAACCAAATCACTGCATAGTTTAAAAAGTAGACTATATATATATATATATATATCTTTATATATAACTATTTACATATAAATATATATATATACATATACACGCATCTATAAATTACATTCTATGGAGAATTCTTTCCTCCTCTCTGTCCTCAGTCACCACCTCTGACTGGTTTCCACTGAGCAGCGACTTGTGGGTGGTGGCTCCTGGGAGGGGGAAGAAAGGCAATTGGGTGCCCCCTCCCCTGCCCTTCCCACAGACGTTTGCTGCAAGTTTTACATTCTACTTTCGTTGCCATGGTTTCTGTATCTTAGGAGAGAGCTGATGGGGTGCCTGAGCCTCTGCCAGCCCTAGGAGGAAGGGGAGCAGCCCCGTGGCAGGTTTTCCTGTCTGTCCTAAGAGCTTTCTGCATTTACTGGGCGAGAGAGGGCAGCTGTGCGGCATTCGGCCTCCAATTCCATTTTAATTTTTTTTTTCTTTTTATGTCTTTCCTTAAATATACAGTCCATCACCTTGGCTCAGTGCATGTCACCAAAAATTCTCCAGGGATTTCATACTCTGGGGAGGAGAGTGGTAACAGTTAGCTCAGCAGTCACATGCCCGGAACTCTAGTTTAGACCACACAAACAAGCAAACCTCCTTGCTGCTGTCCTGCCCACCGCAACACCCACCCAATCCCCTCCTACGGTCTGCTTCGCTCTCCCAGAGGCACTCGCAAACAGCCTCAGAGCAAAAGCAGAGTCTAGTTGGATCCCTGCTGAGAGGATACCGCAAAGAAGGGGGTGGGCAGGGTACCAACACAGAAAAGAACCTTCATGGGTTCTGCCCACACTCCTCTGGGCTTGGTCCAAGCTGCCCCTCTGGCAAATGCTGGGAACAGAGCCCATTACACACAGGCAGAGGTAAAGGAGGCAGGGAGCCTGCTACCAGCAATTTTCATTCTTCTAGTCCCTCTTCTCTGCTTTCAACCCTGAACCCATGACCTTCTGTTCCCATACTCAGACCACAGGTGCGATGCCTAGGTGGGCCAGATGCCTGCGGTTTCTAGGCTGCCAGGTGCAGCAGCATTGGAGAGAGTGCCTCTGATCCTATCAGAAGGGGAGTGGTCAGGAGACCAGGCCTCTTCAGCTGCCTGTCAGCTCCCTCCCCTGGCCAGATTCCATCTCCTCCTTTCTGGAAGGACAGAATAAAAGGAAGGGCTTTTGGGGCTTCCCCTGGTGGCGCAGAGGTTGAGTGCTGGGCTGCGAAGCTGCCCACAGTCTCTGTAGCGCTGGTTCGATCCCAGGCTGCCCTGGTGGGTCCCACATGGCGTGCAGACCTCTCCTGCCATGTCCGCTGCTCCCCTCAGCAGTGTACTTCGTCAGTCTGCCTGTTCTGTTCCCCACTCTGGCTCTGGTGAATTCTCTCACCCTCCCGCGCTTCTGACTGTACCCAGTGCTTGTATAAATAAATAAATAAATCTTTAAAAAAAAAAAAAAAAAAGAGGAAGGGCTTTTGGCCCACCCATGGTTCTCCCTCCCAGGCAGGGTGTGGGGTGGGTGTGTGGGGACTATCCTGGACCTAGTAATATTTGGCAGCCTAAATACCAGGGCATAGACAATAGTCTGCTGCACAAGGGACAGGGCCATGGTGATGTGAGGGCTAGAGTAGACCAAGGTGGTTACGTGGCGCCCCTGGCAGCAGACTTGGGCATCCCACAGACCCAGAGGCCAGTAATAGGGTAGGAGTGGGGTGGAGGTAGCAATAAAGGGCTGAAACAGACTTCAGTTTCAGTAGGCCCCAAAGCTGCCTGACTCTGCCACCTACAGGTCAGGCTGGGGACAAGAAGCTTGTCACAATCTAGGCTCCCTCCCTTTCTCTCTCCACCCTCCTCTGCCTCAGGAGCAGGGCTGCCAGGAGTTGTAGGGTGAAGAAGGCCCTGTTCATACTTGGACCTTGGTGGAGCGGCTGGTCCAGGACTATCCATGCAGGGAGGCTTGCACCTCTGACAGTCGGTTACAGCTTGGGGTGCCCATCTTCTGTGCTTTGTGGTACATATCTGTGTTGCCAAAGTATCGGGCCCGGTATAGCAAGCCTTCCTCTGCAAAGCAATAGGGCAGGGTTGGGGCACATCCTGTATCACTCGAAGGCTGCTCTGGCACTCTCCTGGCCTGCGAGGGCTAGGGCAAGGCAGTTACAGGCCCAGGATCTGGGGCAGAGCTGGCTTCCCTGTAGGGGAGACCCCAAAGGAGTAAAGACTATGGTCCCAACTTGGCAGGCCATAGTCATCCTGGCCAGACCTACCCACAGATAGAGCTTGATGCCCAATAAGTGGGTAGCCAGGAAATCTGCTCCAATCCACTTCTACATACTTACTTCTGGCAGTGATTTACAGGAACCTGGAGGAAGCTCCAGGTGGCCCCTGGCTCCCAGCCCCACAGAAATACAGGGGTGGAGTCCAGCTCTTGGCTGGGAGGTGACTGGGTACAGGGCAGTGCCAGGTGCTGGGCCCACAAATCACTGGCTAAGCAGGACTGTCTCCTTCCTTGCTTTTCAAGTCCCCCTTCCCCCCCGCCCAAGCCCCCCACTCACTTTGCTGCTTCTCCTTCCAGCAGTTGTTTCGGAGGTTGGCAATATAATCATCTTCCACGTTCCGTTCCACTGTTTTGAGGCTGGAGCCTGTGTACTCATCCGAGAAGGTCTCTGCCACGTAGTAGATGACGCCCAGGTGGTCAGTGACTCGCCTGTGGATATGGCCCACCGATCTGGCCAGATATATACCAGGTACAAATTAGGCAGAACTAGGGCAGCTCAGGGATGAGGGGACTCCGACAGGAGGCACCAGACAGACCAGAGTAGCTGTTTCCCTCACAAACTAGAGCAGCAACTCTACACCACCCAAGCGAGGGTCTTGAAAAATGGCAGGTGGTGCACCTGTGCAAGTGGTCCAGACTACAACAAGCCCTTCCTCAGGCTTTCTGCTTACCACACTGCTGACCTGGGGGCCTTTGGGGAGAAGCCCATTTCTGAAAGGCCCTGGTCAGGGAAGTAGGGAAACTAGAGTGGGACTAGGCTTCATCTTTGATGAACTACATGACTTGAGTCTCCTGTGCCTCCATTTCCTCATTCATCCCTTAAGCTAACCACTATCGAAGGTCTGCCTGCCTATCCAGGAGCTGCCAGGCTTAGGAACAAAATGACGTAGGATTCCAAGGAGTTGTATCTTTCCAGCATTTGGTTCCATTTTCCAGCTCTGTTATGCAGGCTGTGGGAAAAGTATCAACACGTAGACAGGAGTCGGTGCTCTGGGAAGTAGAGCCCCTGACTGCCCGCTGCTACTTTCTTCTCTCCTCAGTTGCAGAGAAAAGGACTGGCAACAGGCCACAGAGAGCCTGAGACAGTTGGTGAGGCTTCAGTGTACTGACTCTGCCCCCTGCTGGCTGACAGGGATCCTGTCAGGCTCCAAGACAGACTCAGGCCACTTGGTGGTAGCAGAGGGTTCCCACTCGATGTCAGACACTGTTCTAGTGCTGGAAATAACCAGGGAGCTAACTCCTTAAAAAAGTCAAATGATTAGTCTAAATGATTAGTTTGCCACAGGACAGTGAGACCACATATTCATTCAACAAATATTACCTAGCATTACTAATGAGCATGGCATTTTATGCATGTTACTCATTTAATCTTCACAAGCAAGCAGATACTGTTATTCCAATTTTATAGGTGAGGAAACCATCTCAGAGAAGTTACATAACTGTCCAGGGTCACACAGCTATTTATATTAGGGGAGCTGGGATTCAAAGCCAATCTTGCTCTGTCTGACTCTAGAGACCCTGTACTTTCCATGGCCCCAGTGCCCCCATAGAGAATGTAAAAACAAAGGTTCTTATCTCAAAGTCGGCAGATAAGATGTGGGGGAGGGTGTCCTGAAGTCTGTGAAATCATGGGTATGCATAGTATTCGTTTAGAAAAGACCTGCAGTTTTCATTCTATTTCCTCAAGGATTGTGATCCTGAAAAGATCAAGAACTGCAGTTCACTAGGGAAAGTATATTTTCTTGATTCTAAGCAGTTTTCTGAAGTATGATCAACAACTTGCTGGATCAGAAGGGTAAAGAAGGCCTCTGATGGGGCCAAGAATTCAGAGCCCCTCTCTGCCCACCACCCCAGCCTTACCCCAAGCTGTAAGGTACTCACGGTCTCGGGCTCAGACTGTAGGGTGGGCTGGAGACCATAAGCTGGCTGAGAGCTGACACGAGGATCAGGATGAGGATGGGCATCAGTTGTACAAACACCCCCAGCCCGCCCTGGAGGGAAGAGCCAGTGGTCACCCAAGCCAGACAGGGGTGGGCTGTGGGGTTGACCACAATCACCACCAGATTGTCCAGCACAATGGAGCCTATCAGTAGGAGCCAACTTCATGCAAACAGGTCATGAACCACTCTCTCCCCTTCCCTCCCACACGCTCCCAAAATATAGAAGCTTCTCCATCTGCCAGCTTCCCTGGATAAAAACAAAGCAGTAGCTGGTGCTAAATATAGGGGGGAGGTGGATATACCTATTTACTTGCGAGAATACCAAAATACGAGCAAAGTTACTACCAACAGGAAAATGGGAGGAAGGGCTAAAGGGAGGATTTCACTATATGTACTATATGAACTGAAACAATTTAATAAATGCCAGTTAAATATTAGAAAAAAATACATTTGTTCACTGTGTGATAATTTAAAAACCTTTTATATGTTAAGTACATACAAAATAAAAGCTTAAAAAATGAATAAAGAAAAATAGATCACCATGTCAGAGCAAATAGGAACTCCTTGCCTGCCATTATTTTAAATGCTCCACAATTACTCACAGCATTTTAATTTTAGTCAACTAGCTATTATTGTTTAATCCATGGCATTCCAGATGTGTCTGAAGCATTGTCTTATATTAACAGCTTTTGTACACATTTTTTTAAGAGGGCTGAAAGGAAGCAAAAGAGCCAGCACCTATGTTGTCATCCCTTATAATTCTCACGAAGTTTAACTTCCCATTGCTTGGAAAATGTCAGTTTGGCATTATAAACAATGGACTACACAAAGGCCACTCACACTAACTATTATAGTTTGTAGGTGGAGAAATTTCCGTGCTACATTCCCTAACAGAGGCCATCAAGTCCCCATTTTTTCCTGGGCAATATGGAGTATGGCTCCCTCTAGTGTCCATTAGACAAATAGCAAGAAAGGGTCAAGATGACTCCTTGGCTGAGAGGTGTGGGGACACTGTCCTCCCAGAATAAGAGAGCTGGGATTCCCTCCTCCAAGTCCCACGCCCTGGGGTTGAGCTTGGCGCCCTCCCATTGCTCTCTCCAGAGCCTTCCTCACTCACGTCACCCTGGTTCTCCCTGCGGTCCTGTCTTTGCTGGTAGGGGTAGCGCATGCGGCTGTTGCTGTAGACATGAACATTACCTGGGGGTCAGAGGAACTGAGTTAGGAATGGGGCTGTTGGGAAAGAAAGAGGATCTCCTACCACCACCCCCAGGGAGATCTCACTGTGGAAAGGGTGGGGGAAGGACTTACTAGAAGGGAAGCCACCACCAAAGAACATGTTGAAGAGGTCTTCAGGTGAGATGTCAGCCTCAAAGCCACGGTGGAAGTCCCCATGCCCGTGGCCATGCCGGGTTGCCTGGCTCTTGTCATCCCCAAACTGGTCATACTGTTTCCTTTTCTCTGGGTTGCTAAGTACTGCGTATGCTGTGCCAATGGCTAGAAAGAAGGTAGAGAGGTCAGGTAGGTCTGAGGATGCTGGGAATGCAGGAGGCTCCTATGGCGGTCAAGAGCTCTCTTCCTTCAGATACTCAAGTGGTAATTTAGGAAGCGGAGTGCTCAGGAAGTTGGGCTTCAGTGCAAGTGTGGGAGAGTGGAATGCAGGATACTCATAAGTAAATCTGGGCAGCCTGGGCTGGGTGGAAGATTAACACTTAGGCTCTCTGCTTTCAACTTCATTACCATGGTCCAGCTTTTTCTGTGCACTAGAACCCTTATAGGCATTGTTTTAGTTATGCTTAACAGCAACTCCTTCTCCATTTTACCAATGAGAAAAATGAGGCTCAGAGAGGTTAAGTGACTTACTTAAGCTCACACAACTCTGATGTTGCAGAGCCAGGAATCAAACCCAGGTAAGTTGTGTTTTAAGTTTGTTCCGTGACTTTATGAAAACCCTCAAAACCCTCTCTCCTCATTCCTCTCTCTTGGGGTTCTCAGTGGGATGGGGGAATCTCTTTCTTCAGATTATGTAATCCTGAAGTCATAGTTTGACAGATGGCGAAACAAACATATGATGTCTTTGAAAATTGGACAGCAGCAGGAACTGCAGGAATGGCTCCCTTCCTGAGTTCTTGTTGAGACTCTTTCATTGCTGGTAATATAGCTGAGAGAGCCCTCATCCCTGTGGGAAGCCTGTGCCCCAAAGGACTAGGAGCACCCAACCTAGCTCTGGGTGTGCCCAGTCTATTGCTCCTTCTCAAGCAGCTGGCTCTTTCAGAGGATGAGGCAAAGATGCATCTGGCTCAGAACCTGCAACCCCTGAAAGTAGAATCCTGGTCCTCTTCCCATTCTGACAAAGCCCCAAAGCTAGATCTGGGCTCTCAGCACCTCTTGGGAAGGCTAAGGCAGAAGTCAGGGCTAGAGAAACATTAACAGTGTCCATTTTGTCTCCCTACTTCCATTCTCCTTTCTCTGAGGCTAAATGACAGGGCCCTTCAGCACAGGGAAACTGTTACCAAGATCCCAAGTGAGGGAAATGCATACGGGTGAGCCAGGAGGCCTGCTTTTGCCTCTCCCTTACTTGTGTGACCTTGGACAAGCCATTGGTCTTCTTTTACCTCAGTTACTTTCCTGTAACCCTAGGAGAACATGGAGGCAGGAGTGGTGCTTCTGAGCTAGAGGAGGCTACTAGGACCTTCTGCCCAGGAATCAACTCCTGAGCCGGTAAGACCCGGGTCGAAGGGCTCTTCTTGAAAAAACTTTTTTGGCCCCCTATTCCCTCCCAAGGACTAGAGGTAAAAACACTAAAACTCAAGGAAACCAGGGCCAGCTTACCCTTGAAAGCTTCAGTAGCACCAGGTGCACGGTTCTTGTCTGGGTGGAATTTGAGGGCCAGTTTGCGGTAGGCCTTCTTCAGGTCCTCATCTGTGGTCCCTCTGCTCACCCCCAGGATCTCGTAGTAATCTTTACACTGTTTGACCCTGGTGGAAGAGAAAAGTGAGATGGGGGAGCTCTGCATGGGCCTGGGGCCATGAAGAGAGGTGGTAAGGAACAAATAATGTATATACATAGCTCTGAGTAGGCTTAGGGGGGACACTGGGGCATGGCTGAGACTCCACTCCTGGGACACAGGACCTTCAGCAAGCTCCGGCTAGAAAGGGGAACTGGGCAGAGCCCAGAGGAAACACCAATAATACATCTGGATTTAAGGAGGGACAACTGCTGTTTCTGCAAGGACGGAATCCATTTCTCCCCACTAATAGCAGCCCATTGGAAGGACTGTCAATGGATGTCAGTGAAGGGCCTCTGCCCCAGGGCAGGTATGTCCCAAGCTCGGCCAGCTGTACTTTCTCTTGCACTTCGAGTCTGAAGTGGGTGACACAAAGGCCAGAAATGGTAGGTGTCTGCTCATTCCATCACAGAACCCTGAAGAGACTCTGGTTCTCTTCTATCAGTTCTTACTCCTGGGGTGCCTGGAGATCCCCTGATTCTCGACCTGTTCCATGCTTTCCCAACTCCCCATAATCATTTTCCACTGCCTATAATTGATGGGTTTGTCTGGTCAGAAAAATGTAAATTGGCCTGTGCTTTCACGGCAAACTATAGCTATGCTAGGTCACACACAGGATGAACCCCATCCTGAAGCTTGACAGAGTCTCCACTAGCAGCCAGGACTAAGTGGGAGAGACCTTGGAGGGTCTCCTGAGGCCAGCTGGTGGGGAGGCTTGGGGAGAAATGAGAGTTTGAAGTATCTACTCCAGAGAAGCCTAAGCTGGATCATCTCCACCTGGCAGTGAGCTGTTCCATGCATGGTCGGCCCAAGCTCTAGAGGATAACTGTCTCCTGTCTCCATTCTACCCCACACAGGCTCTGGATTGAAAAGATCTTTGTTGGGGGTGGCGTGTGGGTTGGGGGGTAAGGCCTCAGCACCACGTGTGTAAAGAGCCTGGGGCTGCCTTGGTGGGCTGGGTCAGTGGAGCCCTGATTCCCCACTCTGCCAGGGTTGGTGGGACACAAGGCGTGGGCCTGGGGAGCCTGACCATTTGAACCTCCTCTATCCTCCAGACCCTCCCAGGACCCATCTAGACCACAGGCAGAGGACATACAGGAAGTCTCCTCTAGACTTGAAAACCTGCCAAGAACCACTTGGCTCTGCCCTTGCGTGCCCGGCCCAGCCCTCTACCTTTTCACGGCCGCTACTTGTTCTGCAGTGTAGCTTTTGGTGCTCTCTCCACCTCCAGCTTCACCGTTGGCTGAGGGGGCGTCAGTCCCACCTACTTTCCTACGGGTTGTGTGGGTCTCCTCTGTGGGTTGGGACTTGTCACCAGCAGGCTGTGGTTTCTGGTTGAGAGACTCGATCAGGGCTGTGTGAGGCAAGAAAACCATTTAGGGCTCCTGCTCCAGCAAGGCCACATGCCATAGCTGAGAGGCTTGCTGACCTGGGGAGAGGCCAGGGTCCCCCAAACCCAATCTGCTTGTTCAGACAGCAAAGCCACGAGCTCCCTCTCTGACTAGGGCCTTGGGAGCTAGTGGGATAGTGGCCCATTCTCTTACAACCCAAAGGCCTCAGCACTCAGCAGGGTATATAGATCATTAAAAAACTCAACATAAAAACAATTAATCCTTCAGATTTTTTAAAATTCCAAAGTAGTATGTTCAATAGATATCCTCTGCTGAATGCTGACATGGTGAATGGGTTCCCCCACTTAGCAGGACCATCTGATTCAGCTGGTCAGAAAGGCTTCCTGGAGGCCTCTGCTTCACCATGTAGAGGAAAAGGGGTAATGAGTGTGCCCAGAGGGCCAAGAGTAGTGCAAGACTTAGGATAAGTATCTGCTATGCATACTACTTGCTATTTTTTTTTAACATTTTCAAATGGCTGGCCATGTCAAATTGCTTCAATGTTCAGAGTCCATTAAGGGCATTAGCTGTCACCCTCAGACAGATCATGATTATTTAAACCCAAGTCCTTGGTTCCTGTTGTTGAGGAAGGGCCCAGACTTCTGGCAGAAATCCCCTGTGCCCAGGCACAAAATGAGTTTTGAAACTCCAGTGAAGTTTCTGCTGAAGGTCAGCAGCATGGCCAGCTGGTCCCCAGTTCCCTTCAAATGGACCAGGAGTTTGCCAGACTCAGGTGTTGTGCTGGGTGTTAGACACTCCTACTGCGGCATACCTGGGTCTCACCCAAAGGGCCTGCAGCAGGGCTCATGGGGAGCTAAACACTGGCGTGCAAGTGGACCCTGTGCCCTGAGTTACTGCTGTCTTATTTGCAGCAAACTCATGTACTCCACTAAGTCAGCAGCTGGAAAATCCAAATGCAGGAGCGGACAGTCTTATCACAACCATTCCCATTATAAGGAAGAAGCTGTGTGTCTGATGAATGGACAAGCTGGGTGGTCAGCATTTAAATTCTAGGTTGTCTAACTCACAGGACCCTGCTCTTAACTCTGCTGCTACACTGGACCACTCAGGTCAGGCAAGGGGAGCCCCTTTTAAGACAGTCATTCCAAGTATAGAAGTTAAATTCAGAAAGCCCCATGTTTCAAATCTTAGCTTGGCCACTTCCTAGCAACATGACCCTGGCTGATCTATGAAATCTCTCTGAACTTCAGTTTCCTCAAAAGGGGGCATAAGAATGAAATGAGATAATGTGGGTAAGCACCTGGCATGAACCCTGACAGAGTACTCAACGTGAGTAGCTGCTAATAATATGACCTGGGTCGATGAACTGACTGGCAGGGAGTCTGATGACCAGGGAGGGGGGGATCCCCAAGATGGTGGGGGCTGAAGTGCTCCAGGCTTAGGAATGCAGTCTCAGCATACAGTAGGCTTTGGATCAAGTGGTAGCCATGAAATCTGAGGTCATCCCAAACTCCAGGCCTAAGCCACGCATCAATGGAATGGCAATGGAAGAAACCAACAGATGAAGAGATGCTGATCAAGATGGGACAGTGGGTGGAATTAGCTTGCTGGTTTCCGAGGGCTTTAAATGAAGTTTATTTCCATTTCTCTGGTCCAGGTTGAGCTGACAAACATGAAGGACACAATGACCAGTGATCCAATTGCCATGGAAACCCAGGAGCATCAGTCAAGGGATGAGCCAATTCTCCTCAGTACTACCTAGGGAAGATTCTGGAAGCTTCTCAGGACAGTTACATGGAGTCAGGCACTCTTAATTTCCCTGCAGAAAGCCTAAAGGGGAGAAGTTGTGCTGCTGGTGACACAGAAGGTTCCTGCTTGAGTTGGCAATGAACAATTTCTGGTTGCTGATAAGTAGGTCTCTCTTGAGGCCTGGACACCCCCTCTGCCAGGGTTGGATGTGACTTGCTCATTGTGACTCACTGTTCCATCCCTCATGGCACAGTGACTGTTAGGCAAATGTCACAAAAGAGTAGGAGCTACAACAGTTTAATGTGACTCTGGAGTTAGACAGACATAATTGGGTTCAAATTCTGACCCTTCTTCCCAGAAATGTCAGCAGACATTTAAAAAGAAGGCAAGGGTCTCCCTTGTGGCACAAGGGGTTAAGACCCAGCACTATAAAGCTATCTGCAACTACTGCAGCCCGAGTTTGATCCCTGCCCAGGGAGGTGACCCACATGGTGCAGCAGACCTCTCCTGTCTCACCTGCTGTTCCCCTCAGCAGTGTATTTCAGTGGATCCACCTGTTCTGCTGCCCACTCTGTCTCTGGTGAATCCTCTCACACCCCGCACCTCTGTTCTATAACCCAGTTCTCGTATGCATAAATAAATAAATCTTAAAAAAAAAAAAAAAAAAAAAGGAAAGCAAATCGCAGAAGAGACCAAAGCTGGGGTGGGAGATGGGGCACCTGAGAGAGAGTGAGAGCATTTCCATGACCCAAGCCACCACAGTGGCCCCTCCTCAAACTCAAACTGGAGGGTAAGACTACCTGGATTCAAAACTGGCTCTGCTGCTTGCTGGTAGGGTCATTTTGGACAAGGTAACTTAGCTTCTCCATGTAAAACTGTTCTCCCTCGGGCCTCCCCGGTGGCGCAGCGGTTGAGCGCTGGGTTGTGAAGCTGCCCACAGCCTCTGCAGCGCCGGTTCGCTTCCTGGCTGCTCCCTGGCCACCGGAGGAGGGTCCCACATGGCGCGCAGACCTCTCCTGCCGCCCGCTGCTCCCCTCAGCAGTGTACTTCAGTCCTTCTGCCTGCTCTGCTTCCCACTCTGGCTCTGGTGAATTCTCTTACCCTCCCGCGCTTCTGACTGTACCCAGTGCTTGTATAAATAAATAAATAAATCTTAAAAAAAAAAAAAACAAAAAAAACAAAAAGAACTGTTCTCCCTCAAAAAGGATGAAAAGTAAATGAGTAAATGCATATAAAGGACTTAACACAATGCCCAGCAAATGCTAAGTGCTGTTACTGTTATGTTTGTTTCTTGGCACTCTACATATTCGGGTGCTCAGTGTGAGCCAGGAAAGGGAGGCCAGAGTAGGGAAAGGGCCTGGATAGGAGTTAGAAAGTCTGGTCCCTTTGCTAATAAGTCATGTGGTCCTGTCAAGTAATCTTATTCCTTAGAGAAGACATGATCCCTGCCCTCAGAGGGTTCTTCTGAAGGGTAAATAAGATTGAGGGAAAAAAGGTGAACGGAGGGTTGAGCACATAATGTAAGGCTGACTTGAACACATAACCCCACTCTGGCCCTCACTAGCACTAGGACTCTCAGTCCTGCTCTGAATGCCCCAATCTCTCAGCAGCTCCTCTCTCTCCTGTGCTGGCCTTCCCAGTTTGGCCTTCTTGACTTAGCCTGGAGCCCAGAGTCAGTCACTCTCAGAAACTTATGCAATCTGAGTTGCCAGATCATCCAGGTCAACCCTCTCTTTGTATGCTGGGGAAACTGAGGCCTATGGCTGTTCTCATCAGCTCCCTGGAAAACTTGGAACATTTTACTGTTGTTGCTAAGCCTCACATTAAGTCAGTTGCTACAAGTCTGCTAGGCTTTGAATAGAAACTCCTAGAAAGAGACTGACTGGCTCCACTAAGCTGGCTTTGTGACCTCTAGGCTTAGGGCCTGGCTACTGCTCCATAGTACAATGTCCAGCCCTTGGGGTTTCTCTGTTCCACTTCCTGCAGCACAAGTTTTAGTCCCCTCACATCCTTTACATTGTTAGGACCTTAAACCCTTCAAGGTTACTCTGAGCTTCCTCCCTAACCCTTCCCTCTGTCTGTCCTTCCACTTATTTACGACCTATGCTCTGGATCCTTCCCCTTTCTTTTCTCAATTTGTCATTTTCCCACATGGCCTCTGCAGCAACTAACGTGCTCCATGGCTACCTGGCCACTACGACCTCCTGGGACTGCCTCTTCCTGTTAACGCTCCACCTCACTCTGTTGCTTCCTGTCTTTGCCCATTGACTAAGGACGGATGTGGTTCATGGTTGTACCTGCAGTAACATTCTCTACATGTCTCACATTTCCCACAGTGACTTCAGCCACACACAACTCCAATGAACTTCATGCTGACAATTCCTCTGGACCATCCCCCTGGCACCTTGTGCTCTGTCCATCTCTTCCCATCCACATTCTTCAGTCTCTTTGTGGTCACATGGCTTGGATTCTGTATTCTCATTTCTCTTCAGTATCCCTCACACAATGCTTGGTACCTCCTCTCTGATGACATTATCTTCATTCATACTGCCTTATCTCACACCTGAATAACGCCTAACCTACTCAATGCAATTGTCTCCCAAGTGGTTTCCGACCCGAATCTCTCTTTCCTCTCAATAACCTTTCACGCTATTCTTTAAGAATAGTATCCTGGGCCTCCCCTGGTGGCGCAGCGGTTGAGCGCTGGGCTGTGAAGCTGCCCACAGCATCTGCAGCACCGGGTCGATCCCCGGCCACTGGCGAGGGTCCCACATGGCGCACAGACCTCTCCTGCCGTGCCCGCTGCTCCCCTCAGCAGTGTACTTCAGTCCTCTGCCTGTTCTGTTCCCCGCTCTGGCTCTGGTGAATTCTTTCACCCTCCCGTGCTTCTGACTGTACCCAGTGCTTGTATAAATAAATAAATCTTTAAAAAAAAAAAAAAAAAGAGAATAGTATCCTTATCTTCTTCCTGCTATCAAATTGTTTTTTCACTAACTACAGAATAAAGAATATACTGGCCTGGCAGGAAAGGATTTCCACAATCTGGCCTCATTTACTTTCCAATATTAATCCTCTCTATACTCAAATTGCTACCTGGGCAGCCTCCAAATCTTGCCACACTCAATCTCCTTGTCCAAAACTCTTACAAATTTTAGACTCCATGTCTATTCCCCATGTCTATTTCTCCAGCTCCCCCATTTTCCTTGAAAGCACAGATCATATGCTGCCTCCTGTCCTATTCATTTGTACCTTCCTTCACTGTGATCTACCCCTACTTTTATGTTCTTGCTATGGCCATGCTTATACAGCTTATAATGTTCAAGACTGTCCTCTAACCTTCCACCTCCAGCACTCCGAAACACCTTACCAAATTGTGAGCCTAAGTCTATCCTCACATCGTTGGCACCTTTAATCACAGTTATTGTTCTATGGCTTGAGGTATTACTTCTTCTGTAATTGTGTCTCCTACTAGACTGTCAACTTCTTGAGGTGAGGATTTGTCTCACCAATGCTACTATATCTGCAACTGCTACTATATCTTAGGACTGAGCAAGAGGACCGTTTAAGCAAAACAGTCTGTTGCATCAAACAAGTACTCTATAAAGTGCTCAAACCTCAAATATCAAGTGCAGACAACTACCTAATATTTTTAAGCAAGATTTCCTAACCTGAGGCCTAATTAACCCCAAATCCTTCTCAACTTAGTGAAGGGCTACAGATGGTACAAGGTGAAGTTTACAGAGAAATAAGGCATATACTCTCTCCAGACAGAAATTGAAGATGACAAATATGTACAGGTGGCTGCTCTGACTGAGCAAATTCCAGTGCTTGAGCTCCAGGAATGACACCCATCGAAACCCTATTACAGCATATGACTTAGTTCATAGGGAAACCCCCAAGCAGGTTACCTCCTGCCAAATACAAACTGAAACCCTCTCTAAGAAGCAAATGTGCCAAAGACCAATCTGTAGAGTCCAAAGGGAAGATCATTCAGGGGTTCTAGGCTTCTGTCAGTGTTCTCCTGTCTCAATTTCATAATATGTCAAGGAAAGCTAGTAAGGTGACTATTCAGAGTCAGAGAACTTCCAGTTTCTAATGTGTAATCCTGGGCAAGTCCTCGCTTCGAGGCTATTTCCTCATTTATAGAACAATGATAATGATCTTTGCTCTGCCTCCTGATAGGGCAGGTCAAGTAAGAAAATGGATTTGAAAGAGCTCCTACACTGAAAATTCCAGTGAGTATTATTGTTATTCATGTTATCTGCGGCAATCCTCTAGTTCTGCAGACAAGCTCAGAAAAGATTCTGTGGCAGCAGTCAGGATGAAAGTCAGCCTTTTGATTCTGAGCACCTGTTATAGGCCAGATAACTTGCTAGGTGGTAACTGCTGGCATAAATCTTGTATGTAATGGACTACCTCTCTTCCCCCTCCAACTTGTAGTAAGAAAAAGTTCTTTAATCAAAGTCGTTATTTCTCTCAGAACAAAAAACATTGCTTTGAAGACTTGGGTAAAAGAAAAAAATTCCTGGGCAGAGTAAGATGATAGCTGACTATTCCCTCCCTGGTCTGTAAGTCTTCAGTTGAGAGCTGCTTAGCAACCTAATGCTGTTCAGCAGCCCATATGGCCTAACACTGATGGGCTTTAGGGGGCTAGGATAGGTGGGAGTGTTTAATGTCAGTCTCCAACAAGGCCATCCGCTCCGAAATCTCACAAACTGGTGAAAAGGCTCCAGGAGAGTGGGAGCAGCCAGGTCCGAGAACAGACCGTCCAAGGTGATGTGGAGTGGTGGTAAAGATAGGGTCTAGTCTCTAGCGGGTGGCCCCTGACCAACTCAGGGGAACGTGTGAGGGAGTGAAGCGGTGGAGACACCTTTCCTGTCAGTCCGAAGGTCGGGACTTTTCTTTCCCTCTCTAGAACTCATTACTCCATCTGAGGAGTTATGTTTATTTTCTTGAACTATAATTTTTCCCAGGCCGGCAACTGACCCTGGGCGACCGAATGGCCCCTTGGGAAAAGTAGTTCAATTTCTCTTCCACATAAATTCCCCTTGTTCCGACCACTAATCCTTCTCATTCTCGGGAACCCCAAATCTCAGAGGGGGCTGGGAATCACCCACGAAACTTAAGTAGTGACCGCGGGGGTCACCAGACGCCCAGCATCCCGGAGAGGCGTGCGAGCGAAAGACTACATCTCCCAGCAGTCACCGCGCACCTCAGTGCGCAGGCGTAGCCGCGCCTCGCCACCCCTCCCCCTCCTCCAACTGCTCCCGTCGGTCCGTTCCCGTATTCCCCCCATCAGTTCTAATGTCCCTTCTGTCTCTCCGGTACTTATCACTCACTGCGAGCTCGCGGCGTCGGATACAGCCGCTGCGCCTTGTCCAGGAAGCGGAGCGCCCTTTCGGTCTGGTTGCTCTCGATGGCCTTGATGGCGATGCTAATACAGCGCTCGGCTTCATCCTTGTTAGATTCCATGGCGGAACCAGAGCGCGGAGCCAGGGAGGGGGAGGCCGGGCGAGCGAAAGGCTGCGCCAGCCGCCGGCGCGTCGCGGGGCAGGCGAGCGCAGGCTGATGACATAAAACCCTCCGCCCCTCCTTTCCCGAGATTCGAGCGGAGGTGAAAGCACTACCGTATGTCTTCTAAAAGACGGACATCAAAGAGCTGGTAGTAAGGATGGGTGCATGCCCACGTTCCTGAATCCCAAAGGGTCATGTTAAGGGTTCTTAAAGTTGATTAGACTTGCAGGTTCTTGTTAAAACTCTTCTATGTTTGAGACGAAGATAATCTATTTAGTCAAAAGATATTTATTGGGCCTCCCCGGTGGCGCAGCGGTTGAGCGCTAGGTTGCGAAGCTGCCTGTGGCCTCTGTGGCGCAGGTTCGATCCCCGTCTGCTCCCCGGCCACCAGAGGAGGGTCCCACATGGCGCGCAGACCTCTCCTGCCACCCGCTGCTCCCCTCAGCAGTGTCCTTCGGTCCTTCTGCCTGCTCTGCTCCCCGCTCTGGCTCTGGTGAATTCTCTCACCCTCCCACGCTTGTGACTGTACCCAGTGCTTGTATATTTAAATAAATAAATATTAAAAAAAGATATTTATTAATTACCCACTACTTGTCAGTCAGTGGGGATATGGGTGGTGAACAAAACAAAGCCCCTGCCCTCATGGAGTTTACATTTTAGAGCACATAGGGAGATATCCAATAAACAGATATATTCAGATAGGTATACACGCTATGAAGATAAAGGAAGGAAAAAGAAAAAGAGTGGGAGGTGCTATTTTAAATAGCCTGATAAATCTCTCAGAAGCTTTTATTTTAAATCTGAATTCTGGAGAGATAGTAGATATTCCAGATGTATCTATCTGGAGGAAGGGTTGCTCAGACAGAAGGAAGAGCAAATGCAAATGCTCTGAAATGGAAATTTTCTTGGTGAGACAGGATCAACATGGAGAATACACCATAGAGAGTGTGTAGGAGTCCACTGTGGAGTGGAGTTTAGTTCTGTCTAGCTTTCATGTCTGCCACTCCTGAGAAAGCAACCTTGTAAAGTTTACAAATGGCCCACATTGCCAAATCAGTTGGTCATTTAAAAAAAAGATTTATTTATTTATTTATGCATACAAGAACTGGGGTGTAGGCCAGAGGTGCTGGGGTGAGAGGATTCACCAGAGACAGAGAGTGAGGAGCAGAACAGGCAGAGTGACTGAAATACACTGCTGAGGGGAGCAGTAGTCTCAGGAGAGGTCTGCTGTGCCATGTGGGTAGCTCTCTGGCTGCATGGGGATCGAACTTGTGCTGCAGAGGCTGAGGATAGCTTCACAGTGCTGGGCTTAATCCCTTGCACCACAAGGGAAGCCCTCATTTGGTGGCCTCTCAAGTGAGAGTTAGGGGGCTACTTCTATAAGTCATGTGAGAATTAATGATAACTTGGATAAGGGTGGTGGTGGAGGTAGTGTCCATCATCCCCTTTTCCCTTAGGTATGCTGAGGCCTACAATTCCATTTCCTATCATGAGACCTCCCTCTTCTCTGGCTGACCACAGGTATGTTACTTTATGAAGAGAGTATAAAATAAGGCCTGTAATTTCTTTATGTTAAGGAACTGAACTGTGATTTTCTAGCTCCTGGCTGGTGAGCCCTCCTTTCCTGCAATGCATATAAATGACAAGATCTTATTTAAATTGTGAATATGTAGCCAGTCATTTGGCTAGATTGGCAGGGTCTAGAGCTTTAGGCATCTGGAGAGGCTGGTATGGAGAGGAGTGGGGAGGGAGAAAGGGGAGAAGAGAAAGGGTGGGGGGCAGGGGAGAGAGAGAGAGAGAGAGAGGATGTGGGTGTGGTATGACCTCTCTATGCCTTATTTTTGCATTCTTTCTTTGTCTCCACTCTATTGCTGATCTGGGTCCCTGAACAATTTCAGTTTAAAAGGCTTTGTTGTTTCAGAAGGGATTACATACTAAGCCTGAATGCTGGTTTAACCCAGTCTCCATGTTACCACTCCCTACCTTTCTTAAAGATTGTAGTCAAGCCGGGGGTCTTCTTTATTGTCTAGAGGCATTTTGACTTTCTTTGGGTTCTTCTAAGTCCTAAGACCAGGAGGAGAGCCACACTCCTGCTCCGGTCATGTTAGACATTATGGCTCTTGGTCTTAAGAATTTGCTAGAATATGGAACTGGCATGTCAGGAATGACCTGATATTATAGTTTCTGATAGTTCTTATGTTATAGGGCAGCCCCGATATTGAATGGGTTGCCTGGCTATGGGTTCTCACCTGCGCGCTTAAAAGGGACTTATTAATACTCCACTACAGGCACACACAAAGAATTAGCTTTAGGACATCCTTTCCCCTCTAACACTTATAAGATGTCATGATTTTCATCTCATGAAAAAATCAGAAATTTCTGAAACAGAATCCTTAGTTGCCACCAGGGGAATCTAGAAATCACAGGGAAAATGAATTTCCACATGAATTTCAACATTTTCCTCCTAGAGATGAAACCACCCTTGTCTTAGGTGATCATCAGCTTTCAGATCTCTCTCCTTCTGGTGATATCAAGAATTCAGACTTACTTTAACATACTTGAATGCCCCATTGTCCCCTCCCTATTTAGATGCCTACCTTCCTCTTTTCTCCTCTTATCTTTTCTGTCTGTCCAAGTTTAACTTGTTCTTCAGGACTCAGCTTAAACTCTATGTCCTCTGTGAAGAGGAGATATGTATGTAATAGTCAGATAGCTATACTGAAAGGTAGGCACTGTGTAGAGCTGTAGGGATTCAGAGGTGCAACATGGATAAAAGATAGGACCTTACATTTGGGAGCTCACAGTCTAGTACTGGTATAGATACTAAAGGAATTAGGGAGCAGTGTGGTTAACTACTGATAGAACAGTGGTGATTGTGTGTAAGTTCCAGAGGAAGCTCAGAAGAGAAAGCTGTTAGTTGTGTGTGAAGGATTGGAAAGGATTTCTGGGCGAGGTGACATTCGAGCTAGAGTCTGAGGCTAAGTTCCATGACCTTTCTCTCCCTGCATTAAATTCCCTTTTATAGCCCTTAAGCCTGGCCCTTCCATCAATATACCCACTTTTACTCTCTGCACAGTTGGTGCCCTTGATTTGTTAATCTGTTTACCTCCTGTCTTCTGCTAAACCAAGATGGAGATCTTGCCCTCATGTGAGGTTCCTTGTGGCCTACGCAGAAGGCCTAATGCCTAATATGGGCTCAATACATATTTGTCAAATGAGTAGAGTAAATGAAGCCCAGAGACAGGTTTTTCTTTCCCAAACTCTATATCCAGAGTTTTCCCAAGCTGGCCAGATGGATAAATTCCTTCCTAAGACTTAAGGAAAAATTGCCAAGCCAATGGAGTATACTCCACTTCTGTCCATTACTCTTTTACTCCCTGCCTCCGAGTATGACCCAGCTCCAGGCTCTAGAATCTCTCCCTGAAGAAATTACCCTATTGATTAAACTATGGTACATAATGGAACACTATCCAGCTGTGGGTTGGGAATGGGCTTTCCAATTAATGCCTTTTTATTGTAAGTTTGATTTTGGAACCATGTGAATGTGTACCTATTGAAAAAAAAGCTTTCACATTAAGGATGAATATTCTAGAGTGTGAATGACTAGTAGGTAATTGAATTCTCAATTTGAGATTCAATAATAGATTATTTGTTGAAAAAGCACATTGCATATTTCTCCTTAGTAGCTCTAGATCTCCTCTCTCTCTATACCCCTCTCTCCCTTACCCCCCACCCCCAAGAAGGAGCCCTTGACAGTTCGGCAGGGCCAGAGGCTGGGAGCAGGAAAGGGCTTGCAGTCATTTCTACCAAACATATCTGTTTCATGATATCCCACCAAATACAGGTTCTCTGATTCAGTCTTTTCACGTTGTTGGTCTCCATTCTCAGTTCCCCATTGGGGAAGAGATACAACCGGTCTATATTTTATCCAGATTGAAAATTTTTAGCATTTTATAGTTGGGAAACTGATTCAGATTTTATGTGTTCATGGCTAGTTAAAATTGGGAGAACCGAAGTTTTCAAGGAGATTCCCAAACATATCTTCACCCTCTATCCCTTTCGTGGGTCCAGATTCATCTAATTACCTACTAGATAATTCCACCGGATGTCTCTCCAGCACTCATCAACCTCTGCCCAAACCTGGTTCTCTCAGACTCCCAATCCCATTGAAGAGCACCACTATACACCATTACCCAAACAGAAATCTTGAGTTTCATCCTTAATTATTCCTTCACCCTTATCCTTATTTGGTTTATGCACCCACTTTTATATGCACCCACTTTTACCCTTCATGCTTGAGATAAACATCTTTTAAATCTGTTCACCACTCCAACTCTGAAGCCTTTCTCCTGAGCTGGGCTTCCAGCACCTGTTAACTAAATTATTTCAGTCTCCAACGTGTATCTCAATTCATCTATGATATTGAAGGCAAAGTCATTTTTCCAAAAGCGCATCATTTGCCTGCTTAAAACACTTCGGTGGCTCTTAATTTATTGGCATAAAGTTGTTCACAATATTATTTTTAAAACTGCTACAATATTTAGTTATATGCACTGTCAATTCCTAATAATTATTTTTGCTCTTTTTTTTTTTGGCTGGGTTTTAAACTGTTGTTCTTTTTCCAGCTACTGAGCACATGCTTATCTTATTGTCAGCGCATCTTCTAGAAATAATTATGGAGTTGTTAAGTTTATAAGTTCCTTAGCTGAGTCCCACACATTTTAAAATTTAAAATTATCACATTCAGTTTTAAGTATTTAAAAATTTGCACCATGATTTTCTACAACCTATGAGTTATATTTTAAAATGTCCAAATTTATTTTTTTTGTCATTTTTTTAAAGTGTATGTGTGAATGAGTGCTAGCTTCAGTAATTTTTGAGTCACAAAAATTATTTCCTAATCTATACTGGATACTCCCTAGAATTTCAGTTCCCAGAAGCATGCTTTTGACTCTTGGAACTTTGCACACTTTGGTACCTTCTGCCTGGAAACTTGCCCTTCCCTCCCAAGCCCTCATTGTCAACTCCTACTCAACACTCAGGACTCAGGTTTTTTTTTTTATTAAAAAGAAGTCACTTTTTTTCTAAGTCTGCCTTGAACTTCCAAATTTGATTATCCCTTTAGGACTTTGCTCAGTACCTGGCACATAGCACGTGATTCACAGAGTTGTAGAATGAACATAGTGATGCATTGCATACCCTCTCACTTGCTGGTAAAAATTCCCATTTTCTTAATTAGAGTCAAATATATAGTGTTTCTCTTTATGGTCATGGCCCATCTCTAGCTGTTCATCCCACCCTGCCCCCTGCCATCCAACTCCCTGGGAGCAAGACTGAGGCTAGGCTGAACTCATGCAGCTTCTCTGGCTCTGCTCCAGGCTTGTGAGCTTTCTTGCCAGCAGGTGGCACCTGAAGCCTGAAACTAAACCACTGCTCCTGCCTTCCTTTTCTGAGCTGTTTGTTGGGGGCACATAACCCTGCTTGGGCTGTGCTAAGGTTGGCGAGGAGGCTCTGACTGGGGGGCTAAGGTTGGAGAGGAGGCTCTGACTGGCTCCCAAGTTGCTGCACCTTCCTCCTTGTCTGATAGTGGTGATTCCTGGACTTCTCCTTTGTCACAGAGTATGATTTGGTTCAATGTTCCAACCAGAGCTAAAACTGTGTGGAGTACTAAAAGCTATTAGGATGATGTTTTTGAAAATTATGCATGTTTGTCAGCCCCCCGCACCCCGTTTTAAAAAAAAGATTATTTATACATACAAGAACTGGTGTATAGGCCAGAGGTGTGGGGGATGAGAGGATTCACCAGAGACAGAGTGGGGAGCAGAACAGGCGGATTGACTGAAATACAATGCTGAGGGGAGCAGCGGGTGAGTCAGGAGAGATCTGATGCTCCATGTGGGTAGCTCCCAGGCCTGGTATTGAACTCATGCTGCAATGCCTGCGGATAGCTTCATAGGTTGCATCTTAACCTCTTCCACCACCAGGGAGGCCCCCCTTTTTACTCTAGGTCATATTTTCCCTGCTCGTCTTCTTGGATGATGCTGAGCCCAAGGTCAAGAGGTTTGAACAGTCTGGGTCCTGAGTTTCTTCCCCTTCCTGTAGCCGAATGGGCTAGAACTGGAGTAATTTTTGCGTAAAGCAGTAGACAACAAAAGTAGAGAAAAACTAAAGGTATGTGGGGATAATTTATGGAGGTACCGCTAGTATTACTTTTATATTGTCCAAGAATTATTTTTATTTTATTTTATTTTTTAAAAAGATTTATTTATTTATTTATTTATACAAGCACTGGGTATAGTCAGAAGCTTGGGAGGGTGAGAGAATTCACCAGATCCAGAGAGGGGAACAGAAGAGGCAGACCAACACTGCTGAGGGGAGCAGTGGGCATGGCAGGAGAGGTCTGTCGCGCCATGTGGGCCCCTCACTGGTGGCGGGTGCCGCGGACCAGCACAGCAGTAGACGATGAGGCCACCTCAGGGTTGAGAGAAGCGTGCAGGGTGGTCAGGGCGTCGGTGAAAGAAATGACAAACAGACACACTTCAAGAGTGAAAATCTGAGTGCAATTTTCTTTGAGTTTGTGACCAATATATATATGTTTTCCAAAAGCACAGGGACAATGAATATCAATGAAATCAGCTTGCTCATGGGCTCAGTCTATCACCATCAGGGAGGTGATCTACATAACAAGCAATGACCTTTATAGAAGAAAGAAGGAAGTTTAGAAAGACAATAAGGGATTAAAGTTTGTAATTCTAAAAAGATGGGATAAGATTTTTAGCATTCTTGTAGTGGTTCCTGGTGGTCGTTATCTTTTGATAAGCTTCTGTCTTTTCAGGGAACTTCCGCTGCACTTCCTCTGCTTCAGGGTGTTATGCTGTTCTCCCCCTGCGTGCTGGTTGCCCAGCCGGACCTAGGGACCGTGGTGAAAGCCATTCCTAAAGGTCACTGCAGGGGGAGGTGCAGCAGGTATGTAGGGTTTTGCTGTTCTCCCCCTGCGCGCTGGTTGCCCAGCCGGACCTAGGGACGGTTAGCCCTAAAGGTCACTGCAGGGGGAGGTGCAGCAGGCGGGGATGGAACCGGCGCTGCAGACGCTGCAGGCAGCTGCGCAGCCCAGCGCTCAACCGCTGGGCCACCAGGGGAGGCCCCCAAGAATTATTTTTAAATAACCTTTTGGTGGTAGACTGTTCATTGCTTGGTCTGAAGCAATGAAAAGCAGTGTCACAAAAAATTACAATGAGTAACTGAAGTGTTGTTATGGGTGGGCAAGTGGGCCTTGGGAGACAAAAGCGGGGCTACTACTCTTGTCTGGAAGACCAAGGGGATGGTTTCAGTCTTGAAGTAGGAAGGGAAGATTTTTTTATCTAGATAGAAGAAACAATTTGAATAAAATGCACAAAGCAGCCATTTGTATTTCCAAATCACCCCAGCCTACCCCCGAACCCCGCCCACTAAAATCCTCTCTAACCTACTCATACGCTATCTTGCTCAAGGACTTCCTTGGGGGACCCTGGCCTACTCTGGGTGACTTAGCATGTACCCACACCTGCATACTTACTCTAGTGTGCCGGTGTGACCCTCTTGTTTTCTTGAGCACCTGTTCTTCCTGTACTTCCTCTGGCATACCTAGAGGCTCAGCTGGAATTCCATGTGAAAGGTATCCTTGTCCCTAGGTTTCAAGATGTAGTAGGTAAGCTCCTTACTCTATCATGCTATGCTCTTTCAGCGTCAGTGAACCCAGACCAATCAACAGATCTCTTCTTGCACAGGAATGGATGTGCCACAAAGGCTGTGAATGGGACTTCTCTTTCAGGCTAAAGAACAAGGATCAGGGAAGAGAGAGATTTTGGAATTCTGGGTCAAGTTCAAGAAAAGCTCGCATATTGCTAATCCGAAGAACTACAGCAGTGAGCAAGCACAGGTACCAGGAATATAATCCCAAGAGTGAAAGATTGATGAGGTAGGTGAGGGGCAAACTCCTGTCACAGAGAACCCAGTTTGCTCCCAGGAAGGATGTTAGAAGTGAGTTTGTTACCTTGCGCTGGAGACAATGCTGGGGTTGACACGGTCCCTGTGGAGCCACAGGTACAGATCCAGGCTTATGCTCTGCTCTGGCCAAAAAGCATTTCTTACCAACCTTTCAGGGAGCACTGAGTTTTTGGTGTGATGGTTCCATTATATCAGCCTCAAAACACTGTCATGCCAAGGAGTGTTACCTAGAGGTTCTGGAAGAGAACTGAAGGAGAGGCTTTTGGGCCTGGACAAAAACCTAGACTCCATTAATCTCAACCCTATAATGTCATTTTACAACTGAGGAAACAGATGGGAAATTACTCCTTTGCTCAAGGCCACACTGACTGTGGCAGAGTTGGGTTTATCATATAACAACGATTGTTAAAAAAGGTCCATCATACCAGATGATTCCTCATATACCCCACTACTCCATCTTATCATGGAGCATGAGGAATCAAGGACTAAGCACCTACACCTAGGATGGAATGTAACCTAAACTGCACCAGGACAACCCCAGCACTAATCTCTAAATGCCCTTTTTGTTTGTGCCTAAAGGCCTTTCAATGGGAAGAACCAGACTCTGGTAAAAAGAAAACAGATTTGCTGTTAGGAGGACCACAACCCACTGGAGAAGTGAAAGGAAAAGGGCCCAGAGGATCTGAAAATAAAGGAGACAAGAGTCTTTGGGAGGGTTTATTGCAAACTGTTATAATTAAAGTGATATTTTACAAGTGTTTAAGCAGAGGGCAGAAAGACTCTGAGCCAGGTCTCTGCTTCAGAGGCACACCCCTGGAGGGGACGTGGCACTTGCAGGGAACATAAACTCAATCACTGGTTCTCATTAAGCACAGAGTTGAGATGGAATCTTCTGAGGGAGCCTGAGAGTAAGAGATGAATAGAAAGAGCCATGGAGCAGCTGCTTTAAATTCCCATCTTGTTCTGTTTCCATTGTGTACATCACTTTCCCAGAGCCAGACTCAGAGCCACCCTGGGGAAGGACACACATCCTTCCTCTTGCCCAGGCTTCCTGCCAGCTCAGGGTGCCTGGGTCATTCTCATTATCATTCATCACAGACTTCCTCTTGCCTGCCAGAGGTTTTCCCAACTTGTAGCTTGAAAACACCAGCAGCAGGAAAAGCAAGAAATGTTCTTAATAAATCCAGAGCAAAAATGAGTTGAGAACTGGATGTTTCCCAGGGTTGGCTTGTCTGTGGATAGTTCCCTGAATTCTTTATCCACAGGGTGCTTCAGTGTGAAATGCTGCTGCAGGTGCCAGCTTTTAGGAATTGTTCGTATTTTTGAGACGCAATGGAGATAATCAATGGGAAGAATCAGAACCTAGCAGAACACTGGAACAGGGCAAGGGTGGAGAAGGGAAACTGGGGGGAGCCTGAGACCATTCCCAGGGGAAGTGAGCATTATTTTTCAAAGTAGCAGCAGGAAAGGATGTGCCAAGTCTCTGCTCAAGGGGCAGGGTGCTTGGGGTTGAGAAGGCGGCCCCTCTTGCAGTTCTGGGTTAATGTTTGGGCAAAGCAAAGTCCCAGGCGGTTTCCTGTGCACATTTCCACATGGCTTGCATGAGGCGGGTGAAGCCCATGTCTTTGGGCTTCTCCAGGCCTCTCATTAGTCGTTGCTTCATGATGGAAACAAATTCTTTATTGCTCAGCTCCCCATTGCCTAGAGGAGGACAAAGAAAAAAAAAAAAACAAAAACAGGGATAAATGAAGATCTTGGAACAAAGACAATGAGAACATTTCATTGCACCTACAATGTGGGCTCCATAGTCCAGAGAGCTCTTTCCCAGCCAAATTCAATTCTCTTGTTTTAAAATGGACTGCTTTTTTCTTTCCATGATGTTTCTGACTGTAAATCAGTGACAGTTTAGTTGAGTATGATGAAAGTTGAATGAGAATGTAGTATATGTCAGATCTTGTAGTAGGTATTGAGAATAAAGAGAGAAATAAGACTTGGTCCTTCGGAATTTTCCCAGATGAGAGGAGAGACAAGTCCATTATTTCAACAGTGTGGTAGTGCCATAGTGGGATAAACAGAGGATGCTATTCAGGCATATAACCCACACTGGGGGTCGTACAAGTGCATATCAGTAAAGGCTTCCTGGAGGTGACACTTAAGTTGAATATTAAAGGATGAGCAGGAATTGGCCAAGAAAAAGGGATGTAAGATGGGGGAGGCATTCCAGGCAGTGGTAGTAGCATAAGCAAAGGTACAGGCAGGAAGCAGCACAGCTATGGGCGAACTACAAGTGGTTAGGTGTTGCTGGACATACAGAAATGGGATCATGGCAAGTAAACTAAGGAGGTAAGCAGGAGACAGATTCCCAAAGATCTTATATTCTCCATAAGGGTTTGCGCCTTTTCTTTTAGGTAGTGAAACACCAAGATGTAGTTAAAGTTCGATTTCAGACATATTTCTCTTGCAGGATATATATGGATGGAGAGTAGTACAACTGGAGTATGGCGCCAGTTAGAAAACGAAAATAAAAAATCTGGCTCTAGATTAAGGCCATTTTCTCATGGTTTCCCATCCTCCCTCTTCAAGACTCTTGGATCTTGAAGAGAAATTGAAGAAGGTCTGGTTTAACCAAAGGTTATCTCTCAAGTAACCACACCAGCAGTAGAGGATAGTTACCCTTTGACCATATGCCCAGGAGTAAATGGTAGCTATTACTGGGGGTGCATAGACCTCTACTAATGACAGGATTTGGCAGAGAATGGAAAAAGAATAATTAACTTCTATGGAAAGTACTTAAAAACCCAATAGTCCATGTTTTCTAGCAAAAAAAGAAAATGGGCAGCCCCAGAGATCTCCCACAGCAAGATCAAAACAAACAAACAAACAAGCAAACCAACAAACAAACCCCTTCTCCCCCTTGTAAAACTACCCTATGTTACTATAAGTCAAGCAAGTGGCTATCCTTGGGAGAGAAAGGGTATGGAAGGCAGCATGAGGGGGACCCTGTGGTCTGATAATAAGATGTTTCTGGATAACCCTGGCTACAGAGCATTCAGTTTTTAAGGGTAGTTAAAAGTTTATTAACGTTTTAAAAGTTCATAAAATGGTACACTGGCTGAGCTGAAAAGCAGTTAATCATATGGCTTACTAAGAATGTGATTAAAAGAATGAAAAAGGTCTCAAGGTTTTCAGTATTTTGTATAAAAAGAAGCTTAAGATGAAAAATCTAAGGTCATTCACTCAGACTATTATGAGAGTTGTTTCCTGCTGCTGCAAGGCCAGAGCTGACTAGTCTGAACAGCTTCTGTTACCTACAAACTGGGAATATAACAGACTGTCGTTTGTGTGCATGTGTGATCTTGAGTACAACTCTAAATTCTGTGATGAACAAGTCTGTTTTAAAATCAGAATTCTTTTTTTTTAAAAAAAAGATTTATTTTTTTATTTACACAATAGCTGGGGTAAGGCCGGAGGCACGGGAGGGTGAGAGGAGTCACCAGAGAAGAGTGGGGAGCAGAACAGGCAGACAGACTGAAAGCTGAGGGGAGCAGCAGGCACGACAGGAGAGGACTGCCATGCTATGTGGGAATTTCCCTGACCGGCCAGGAATCGAACCCACGCTGCAGAGGCTGCGGACAGCTTCACAGCGCTGCGCTCAACCACTGCGCCTGAAAATCAGAATTCTCTGTCCCTTGCAGTCTGACCTAAGATCTGGCATTGGTAGAAATAACAATGGCTTTTACATTTAATATATACTTCCTTTCTCTATAGATTAAAAAATAATAAGATGTTAAATGATTTTCTAAAGGTGACAGATCCTCCTTCTAAAAGACTGGAAAATCAAATAGTTCTTAGGATTACCTAGAGAAAAGGAGAACTGTGAAGCTGGTTGCCTTTATTCCCAATTTTATTTCACAGATCCCTGTAGCATACTAGTTTCAAAAATTATAAAAATAAATGCTTCGTGGAAAAAACTCAAAATAACCCACCCCATCTGTGAATGAAGGCCATCTCTATGTCCTAGATCTGAAGTCTCTTTTGATTCAGACCTTGGTTTGTAGGGGTGGGCTGGAGATTTAAATACTCAAATTCAGCTTAACTCAAGTAAGTTAATGAACACCTGTTATGTGCAACGTACTATCCAAGGTCTTCTGTGTGAGGGTGGGGGGGGGTGCACGGGGGAGGGTGGTGGTCCAAAGGTGAATAGGACTTGTAACTACCCTTACAAAGCTCACCATTTGGGAGGTTAAATCACACACACGGAGACAGAGTGTAAATTAGCAACACAGACATATTTAACTAAGTTAAGGAATGAAAAAAAACACTGATTAATTATTCTGAGAACAAAATAGACAGTTTCATATAGATGAGAGATTTTGAGCTGGTTCCTGGAGGAAGATGAACAGTGAATCCTGGTTCTGAGACTAATACAGAGGAAGTCAGCATAGTCCTGGTTCAAATCCTAGTTTTGTCATCTTCGACTCCCTTTGTGATCCTGGAAAAATTACTTAACCTCCCTGAGTTTCATTTCCTTGTGTGGACAATGTGGTTAATAATAATTTCTGTATCAGAGGAATAAACAAGCAGCTTAACATAGTGCCTGGTTTATAGTATAATAGGAATAAAAATATGTGAGCCTTCATTGATAATAATAACAATGATTATTAGTATTAATCAACTAGATATTATTATTATTGTATCAGTTAACATAGCTGGGAAATAATGCCAGAGCACAACCAAGATCTCTTAAAATGGGCAAAACTACAGTGATCACAGACACAATAGATCACTGTGTGGAGCTGGAATGCTAACAAGGAATGTGAATGATTAAAATGTGTCTTGGAAGGTGGCAATATCAGTACCATGCTCTGAGACATTCAAATATTCAAGTGCTTTTTCAAAGCAGCAGGCTGAGTTTAATACTTTTGTTTCCATTTTTAAGGTCCTTATGGTTATAAATTATTTTAGGCCTACAGGCAAACTGGAATTCCAAGAAGAAATGGAAAACACAGACCAGGACCCAGGAGTATACTTCTACATGTCGTGATGCTGAGGGTTGAGCTATTGATACAGAAAAGGGGTAAGCTGAAGTGGTAGAGGCTAGTACACTGAAGCTGTCTGTAAGCCTCCATTATAAACAATGTCTACCTCAAGAAAAGTAAGACTTTGCTTTCCTGTCTGATTCCAGAGGGTCCCACTCACCGTCACAGTCAAAGAGCGCAAACACCACATCACACACGTGGTCTGAGAGTTCCACTTTAGCTACTGTCCTGGCCACCTGCTGCATGGTCACTGAAAGAAAGAAAGATATTGAATTAGCACAGGACTTTCATTTTGGGAAGGCTAGATAAAACTACTCAGTCACAATAAAAGCTTTCAACTGTATTTAAGTCATATTTCAGAAATTGTATTAAGTCATATTTAAGAAAATGATAATTTAATTTTTAGTCCTTTTCTACTTCAGGTTCCATTCTATTTTTTTTTTTTTAACTGTGGCTATACTTTAGGAGGTAGCTATAGTTAATTAAGAATGACTGATATCAAGTTTATAGAGACAGAAAGTATACTGGAGGTTATCAGGGTGGGAGGAGGAGGAGTGTGTGGGGGTGGTTAGTGGTTAATGGGCATAGATTTTCTGTTTAGAGTGATGGAAAAGTTTGGAAATAGTGTGACGGTTGTACAGCACTGAAAATAAATAAAGCCACTGACTTGCACACTTAAAAACAGATAAATAACATATTTTATGTTATAGATATTTTAGCACAATAAAATATTATAGAGTTTAGCACAATAAAATATTATTATATATTATAATACATAATAAAATATTATATAATATATAGGCTTCTGTGTAGAGTATGTGGTGGGGACTTCTCTAATAAATCATTACCAGAAGAGTGCCTTAAAGAAATAAAGAAAGCCTGATATTACAATAGTCCTGGCATTTCCGCCCACTGGAAAGAATATGATAATAAAATGTCAAAGAATTAATCAGGCAATAAGAGGAAGGGGAGGTAGGAAACAAGGAGGCCTGTCTGAGTACATTAAAGCTTCATGAGTCAGTTACCGATTGACAGATAAACATACACAGATGAGTTTCTTGCCCCTCCTTCCTACAGATTTCTCACAGGCCACTTGTTTTTTTCCAGTTGTGCCCCAGAGGATCAGCAGGTCCCCATATCTTACTAGCTCAGTGTGCAGTCTTTTTGTTTTTCTTATCACAGCAGAAAAATCTTTCTCCTGCCATTTTTCTCTTTCTCTGCATTTACTGCAATCATTCAAGAACTGGGTTCTCAAGAAAAACAGGTCAGGAAGGGCTAAGCAATTTCTATGGTCTCTCTCCCAACTGTCCTCAAATCTGATCTAGCTACATCTGTAATGTATGATACTGCTCATAGATACTCTCTTAGGTGAGGTAAAACTCAGAGGAAAGAAAAGAATTTCTATTTTTAGTTAGCAATGAATTGTTCTCTGTAAACATTAAACTAGATTCATCTAGAAGCAATGTGAACTCAGAGAGCCTTCTCTGTTTATGTCACACCTATAACCTCAGTTCTTTCTTATCATTTTTTCTGTATTTGATTTTTCACTTCACCTCTGTCATCTCAGTGCCCCAATATCAGCAGATATAAATACCAGAGCAGCGCAGAGAAACAAAGTGGAGCAGTAGAAAAACTGAAATCACATGACTTGAATTCTTATCCTGATTCCATAATCAATTTGCTAAGTGACCCTGATAGAGTCACTTAATCTCTTTAGATTTAATTTTCACAGATTCAGATGAAGGGGCACCACAAGATAACAGAGGATACTTATTAGTATAAAGAACAGTTTATTGGTGTTTTCTAGAATCTGAGAAATAGTTGAGGATCTTGTGTGACAAAGGGTAGAGGAAAGGTTTATTTACTACAGGCTGAGCTATGCGTTATAGTTCAAAGTCTCTGAATTAACATTCATGCCACCTTTTTTTCCCAGGATATGAGTTAAGATAAAGCAGGAATCAACATTCCTTGGAAATAAAAGATTTGAGCAAAAGAGATTATTGTGGTGGATGGTCATGAAATGTCTGCTTCTGGAAGGAGAGCTGGGGAATTTATAAGGTTGTTGAAGTTCTAGGTTTTGGAAACTTAGCCTCATAGGTCCAGACACTTGATTTTCTCAGTTGATTCAGGAAGAATTGATTCCTCCTACTAAATTGCCCTAGGAAAGGTACAAAAATCAGAAGGCCGATTTACAACAAGAATAATACAGGCATACCTTGTTTTTTTTGCACTTTGCAGATATTGTATCTTTCACAAATGGATACAATTACTTCATGTCTGTGTCACATTTAACTAAGGTATGTATGTTGGGTTTTTAAAAAAGATACAATGCTATTATACACTTAATAGACTACAGATGGGTTAAATTTAACTCATATATACACTGGGAAATTTAAAGAATTCATGTGACTTGCTTTATCGCAATATTTGCTTTATTTGTAGTAGTCTAGAACTGAACTCACAAAACCTCTGAGGTGTACCTGTAATTGCTAAGAGAAATAAGGTGATAACGGATGGCTATTACCCTTCTCAGTAGGAAAATCTACTAAGGAAACTCACTTCACCTCAGAAGACTGCAGCAAAAATAGAATTGATTAGAAGAAACTGAATGCTCTCAAACTGTGATTGCCTCCTGGACTGACCTTTGTGACCATAGAAATATGTCCTGAGAAGTGGATCAAAACCTGTTTACAGTACTAGATAAATAGGAATGATTTTTGTTAACTGTTCCTTTTCCTGCATTTCACATCAACCCCACACTTCTGTTATAACTAAAAACAAAGCCCTTTTTCTTACCCCAGTTCTTCCATTCTCTAAGGGCAAAGTGCCTATTGACAATTCCTCTTGATGTTCTAAGTGCCCATCCTTCTCCACATAAAGAGAAGCCCTTCCTCTAGATAAACTGTGAACTAATATATTATCTAAGGATGTCAGTGAAAGCTCTTCACAATTTTTAAAAAAAGCTCTTAAAGTGGTTTTAAGAGATTGTTGAATAGGGACCCCTGGAGGCCATTGGCAGGAATGGCCTCATTACAAATGGACAGAACAATTACAGTTATGTTCCATTTCACACAGAGGACTCTACAGGAAGAAAAACCAGGGCTGCTAAGTCATTGTTTCTCAAATCACTGGGATGTTACCAGCTGATAAAGAGTCTCGCTGGAGTGCTCTTTCAAGTCCAAGATCCTCAGATAGGTTCCCAGGGTATGAATCATAGGAGTGGAAGAAAACATTTAACTATTGATAGTTGGTGAGCTGTCAATCTAGGAGTGCTTGGGGCAAGTGGGATGACAGTGGATTACAAACCAACTGCTTGACAGCTGGTCTGAGAACTGGCTCATTCATATTGCTTCCACATTGCTGAATCACAGTATCATAATTATAGCAAGCAGAATACTGCCCCCGTGGCCCTATCTACCCTGCCCCCCCCATCCCCCCATTTTGACTTTTCTCCATGTAGACCAGTTGTTGTTCCTGGAATTTGAGCCTCCCCTATTGAAGGTTAGGAAGTTGTATTTTTTTTTTTTAACATGAAAGATGTGTAATCTAGGGCAATGACATCACCCTAGAGAAGACCCAGGTTTTCAAGGCTTATGTATTCCTTTTGTATGAATCTGGTCCAGCTGCCTGAACAGAAGATGGACATGAAATTGGAATTTCTACTAAATTGGAATAGGGAAGAATGTGTACAAGCGGGCTCAATTGGCATTGAGAAATGTGGTACCATCTGGTTTTTTGAAAAGTCCAGGCAGAATCTGTGCTGTGCCAGGGCCTCAAATTACTCTCTGACAGCATAGCCCATAAATGGATAATTCAACAGTAGAAGGAATCAGATACTGAGTTTGTGTGACTATGATGTCGCAAGTTGCATAAAACTCTATTTACCACAGTATTTGAACAGAAGATAAGGAGAGTTCTGGAGTGATAGAAGCTCAGATATCCACTTGGAATCAGAAAATCTTTTTTTATTTTTTTTTATAGAGGCATGTTTTATTTATCTGTTTGTTTGTTTGTTTGTTTTGTTTATACATGCACTGGGTACAGTCAGAAGAGCGGGAGGGTGAGAGAATTCACCAGAGCCAGAGAGGGGAGCAGAGCAGGCAGAAGGACCGAAGTACACTGCTGAGGGGAGCAGCGGGTGGCAGGAGAGGTCTGCGCGCCATGTGGGACCCTCCTCTGGTGGCCGGGAAGCAACCGGGGATCAAACCAGTGCCGCAGAGGCTGCGGGCAGCCTCGCAACCCAGTGCTCAACCGCTGCACCACCGGGGAGGCCCAGAATCAGAAAATCTTAAAACTGGAAGAGACCTCAGAGGAAATGTGAAATTCAGAGAAGTTAAATAACCTGTCCTGGGCCACACAGCTAGCTGTAGTGGAGCTAAGTCTAGAATCTAGGTCTCCTGACTGCCATCCCCAATGTTCCTTTCCTATATGCACTGGGTCCACTTGATCCCATATGTGGATAACACTAGTTCCCCCATGAGCCTGTCACTGTAAATAAAAGAGCTTAGTTGGAAAAAAAAAAGTTAAATTGTGGAATACTCAATATTAGTGGGGTGTGGAATACTCAATATTAGTGCGGAGAGATGAGTAGTTAACTGAATAGTTTGGGGTATGAGCAGAGAGCATTATAGTTGTCTTTTTTAAAAAGATTTATTTATTTATTTATTTATTTATTCAAGCACTGGGTACAGTCAGAAGCGCGGGAGGGTGAGAGAATTCACCAGAGCCAGAGCAGGACCACAGATCTTACTGCCCTAAACAGTGGGAGACGTTAGCACTCCCTTGGAACTTATACTGATAATTTCAGGGACAACTTTATTTACTTTTTTGTGGGACCCTTGCCGGTGGCCGGGGATTGAACTGGCGCTGCAGAGGCTGCGAGCAGCCTTGCAACCCAGCGCTCAACCGCTGCGCCACAAGGGGAGGCCCTTCAGGGGACAACTTTAAAGGTTTATTAAACCAGTGAAAAGCATATGAAACAAAGGTGGCCCAAGCTGCATTTCCCCAGTTTCCTCAGCTACACAGAAATAGTCACGAACAAGGTGACCCAGTTTGAATCTGTCTCTTCCTCTTGCAAAGGTGTTTGGAAAGGTTATATACCAAGTTGGGTCGACAGTCTCTAGCTGTGTGATCATGTGATTATTCTTGCCTTGCAGGATTGTAATGGAGAAAATCAAAAGCTGGCTTGTCTGCCAAGGTTAAGTGGGGGAGACATTTCTGTTTCAGCCCTAGAAAGGTTGTGATACAGAT